AATCAAGTTAACTATCGATAATATGATTTTGTAATTTTAACAATAATTGCAATCAATAAACAATATTTTTTTCACCTTTTTTTTGATAATTTTAATTTTTAAGTCTGACAGTATATAAATTTTTGAAAATTTAAAAAAAAAATCGAAAGACTACGAAAGTGTTAATATATCCCATATTAAAATTCAATTTAATTTAGGGTTGAACAATTTAGGCTGAAAAATTATAGCCTTAAGAAAATGTTAAAACCTGTAAAACAGTTAAAATTTCTTATCGATACACAGTACGAGCAAAAAATATCAAAATATCGATATTTTAAATTTATGTTTAAAATATCACGTTTTTGGAACACATTTTATCGTTATCCAATCATGAATAATATTCAGATATTATTTATTCACAGGTTACAACAATCGTACAAGTTTTGAAAGAAAAAAAATTTTCCATACAAATCTTCATTTATACCGTATTGTAAGAACCATCTTAATGTATATGTACATATGTATATTCGTATAAAAATTATTTGAGGAAAGAACAAGAAAATCAAGATTGAACGTACACTTCTTGATATTCCACTTTATAAAAGAGTATTTTCATCGAAACTGAAAACATTTTCACGCGGGCCAGCCGCTTCATATGTTTATATGCTATCACTAGTTTGGACTCGATACTTTCATATAATTGTTGTTTTTTTGCTAAATTGATAAAGGAAAAATTTAGCAAGTCAAAAATTCAGAAAAAAAACATAACAATTTTTCACATAATAAATACAAATTAATAAGAAAATTTCGTCTCGAATTAGAAATGGATTTCATTTCATGGGTTTCATGGGTCGAAACTATCCCTTCAAAAATTAATAAATTTTCCCATCGTTTCCAATTTTTCTGAATTGTTGAATTGCTTAACATCCCTTTGTGAATAAAAATGAAATTTGTTCTTGATAAATTTGGTCTTGAAATATTCAGATATTTCGTGACTGATTTATTTGATCTATATTTATCACTTTTCTGAAATGTTAATTTCCGTCAAAATAGAATGTAATTTTGAGATTTTACAGAGAGAGATTGGACCAACGTGTCTTGCCGACGCGTCCCATTAATCAATTAAAACATTGAATTTATATCCGAAATTGATGTACCAAACGGACGGACTAGAATTAGAATGCATTTCTCTTCAAATGAAATTAATTAAGTTTAATCACAATGCGAGATGCACAATGTTTCGTGCAAGTGGTTAAAATTGGTTAAAAGTATGTACGCAATTAATGCAATTGTTGCAAAATATTGTAAATTATATAATTTTGCTTTTGCATTTTCGATATGATTGTCATACTCGCTATTTTGTATTCGTGCTCTCTTTCATTATTAACATTAATGTTTTGAAATATATATATATATATATGTATATATCTATATGTATATGCCTTATGAAGCATTATTTATGCGCAATATAAAATATTATTTTTTGCGTTAATTAATTACATTGATTTTATAACACCTGTAAATTATTATATATTTTCTTGAATTTTGGAATGATTGAATTGAACAAATGGTTTCTTTTTAAAATATAACTTATTGCTTGTTACATTTTAACACGTGTGTAAAATTAAAATGATAATGTATTTATTACATACAAAGGTTACTAAAATTTTAAAGAAATTGTATATTTTTAACATAGATATGAAACTTTTAAAATTAAGATGATTAAAAATTCTCTCGTCTTAACATCTATTTTTCTTTTTTCATTTACTTATAGAAAGTTTTATATCTTTCCTTCATTCTTTCTTTTTTTATCCATTTGCATACGGATTAGGAACGCAAAAAAGTATGAAGACTCCGTTTGGTACGTTCGTACGGATATATGTACAAATGTATGGGTTGAATATTTACAAGAAGCATGGCATCCTTATTTTAATAATTCAATTTCATTTTTTTTTTCCATCCAAAAAGCAAACGTGTATTGATTAAGCGTATTTGCGCTGTTTAATAAACTAAAGGAGAAAAAGAGAGAGAGAAAGAGAGAGAAAGAGAGAGAGAGAGAAGATATATATAGATAATTATATATAAAATAAATTTCGCAAGAAAAAAGATTACACGAGTTTGATTGATTCGAATCAAGAGGAAAAAAATCAATAGAGTAAAAGAGTTTCGAAGGATAAAATAAAAAAAAAAATTGAATTGGCGAATATATGTATATAATACTATTAGTCACCAGTTGTGCTCGTTATTTTTCGAGATATACTGACATTTTCTCTGTTTGTTAAACGATCGAGGAAAGTTGCGTACAGAGTGGAATACAATCGTTTGAAATACGAAAAAGAAGTAAAATATAAAAAAATACAATCGTTTAATTTTTAATAATCGGTTAAAATCATCAATTTGAATCGATACATTGTAAAATGATCCGTGAGACTTGTCTCGAAGCATGAGCCGCGGCTAATGACGACATTAGACCTTGACAAAACGCGCCTCGATGGAAGCACATAATGTAGTACGTAGTGTATATAAAAAGAGTAAAGGTTATAACTTAATATCAAGTAATTTCATTATTTCGATATTATTACGTGCCTTGAGACAAGTTTCATTAATTAACATTTATACTTAATTGAAATTATTAAATCATCTCGCAAGTAATATCATTTTAAAAGCATAATTTTGATAAAAATTACTTATGTGTATTTTTAATTGAATAATTACTTCGCCAGGATAATTTCTTTTAATTGAGATTAATTTCTCTTGAATAAAAAAAATTTCTTTGATTTTAAATTTTTTGTCTGCATTACTCTGGGAGAATATGATAGTTCAGTCTGATATTATCGATTAATCTTTCATAATAAAAAAGAATTCTTTGCAATTTTATAATCATCATAAATTAATTCTGTTTCAAAAATATAAACAATTTTTAATCCTTCGCGCTTATGATTATTTTTCTAGTTTATTCAACTCTGTTTCCATTATTCTCATTTCAATTTATTTCATTCACATCGGAAGTGACTTCAAAGAATTAAAATTATTATTTGCGAAATGTTTCAATAATTAATACACATATACTGTTTTTTTTCATCATTATCAAGTCGCTATCGTACAACCATGCGATATAATCATCTGATTATCGAGATCCACCGTTTCCAGCAATTCTATCCCAATCTATACACACAGCCACGCATTTATTAAATGCAACGTCGACGATTAACGAACAAATCGGAACGTTGATAACAACGTTCGGAAAAATCCAGTATTTTCGAACTCGAATCGAGCAACTAGCACCCAGCTTTCGTTCCCGATCGATCGGTGCTGAACCGGGTTGAACCGTAATGAGATACGATACAACAGGCACCTAATCTATCGACAGAGGGAACGTGTCGGCGTGTAACGCAGGATCAATATGCTCGAGCAACCATTTTAACGACCAATTGGAGCAAGTTGGAAAGTTATTGTGTACAACACTCGCGTATTGTATGGCTTTACCCCTCGTATCACGAGACTTTAATGTGCGGTGAAGTCGGCCGTGTTCACCGCGCCCCCACGACATCGCGTCAATCGACTTTAATACCTCGACACCATTGTACGACGTAAACCGAGCAAGCAACATTCCGTTTTCTTCGTCCTTCCTCCATTGATCAATTGATCGTTCAATTCGTTCTTTCGCTTATCTGAACTCATCGGCATTTTTCCTCAGAACAAAACGACAATTTTTTGAGATCGATCACGTCTTTGCACATCGATATTCGAATGTGTACGTAATGTTGATATATTCGTGAGATACCTTTGAAGGATTGATTCTAGATAATAATATAAATATAAAGATGTACGAGAATTTGAAAATATTTTTGGAAATTTTTTTTTTTTTTTAAAATATGTTGTGATATACAAATGTATTGATTAAGAGAATTCACGTCGTGTTTCGAGACGAGCTTCGTCGAATACTCGCTAGAGGCGTGTGTGAGAACTTGAAAATGTCTCAAAAGTATCCTGTGACATATAAATATCGAGATTCGAGAATCTAAATAAGCATTGAATTACTTATTAAAAATGTTCAAGAACTTGAAAATATCGGATCGGATTAAATTCTTGAAAGTATCCTATGTATTTTGAAATGAATTTTGTCGAACATGAACGTGAATTAGAACAATCGAGTGAGTATTCGACAATTTGGTTCTTTAAATCTCAAGTATTCTCATATTTGTGTATTTGTAATACTCAAAATTTTGAACGAGTCTCAATCGAAATTTTTGTATATGTCGATTTTCGTGTATTTTGAATTATAGAATTATCCCATAGAATTATCCATAGGTGTCGCACGAATATATATATATATATATATATATA